TGATTGTTTTTTTAAATTCTTAATAAAATACACACACATTTTTGTTTTGTATATATTTTACATTTAAAACGGTTTGCCTTTTTTGATTCCAAATTATACTTTTATTGAATTAATAACGTATTAAAAACTAACCTTTAAATATAATTCTAATTCGAAAATGTGTTTAAAGTCAATTAGTGCAGCGCAACCCCATAGCTAATTAGCATTCACTAATCCACTTATACCTCATACAAATAAGAACAAACCATATGAAGTGCAAAATATGTTAGTTTGGTTATGGAAGAGACTACAATCCGGTGTAGGATTTTCTAATATATTTAAATGTGGGCCTGGGTGGGGGAGGGGTTGGTCACTTTGCCCCAGGCAGCCCAAATACTTTTCAGAATAAAGGAATGAATTTGATAAATAATTAAGCTTCTTGGGTACCTTCATATCGGTGGTGTACATATAGGATGTGTACATCTTTATGTCGATGACAATATATATAAATCCTATGGTATTACATATGTGAAAAAGAGATGCTACATTCTGTTTTTACAAAAATGTGCATGTTTATTTTGCTTAAGGCAGCACAAGATATTTCTCAAAATAAAGAAATGAATTTGATAAATAATTAATTTTCTTGGGTAAATACATGTAGGGGGGAGGAAATAAGATGTGTAAATTCTTACATGAATGACAACAGAGTTAACTCCTATGGTATTACATTTGTGAAAAAATAAGATGTTACATTCTCCTTTTATTGGTATGTCATTTTGCCAAAGGCAATAAAAGATACGTCCCAAAATAAAGGACTTAATGTGATTAATAATTAACCTTCTTGGGTACATACATATCGGAGATAGGAAAAAGGATGTTTACATTTTTACGTGGATAACAATATATTTAAATCAAATGGTATTACATTTGTGAAAAAAGAGATGTTAACTTCTCTGTTTACAAATAAACATATTATTATGTTTACCAATAAAGAAAATAAATATAGTTAACAAATCTTGGGTAGATTTATATAAGTATATCCATGAATATCAAAACCCAATCATTTTACACACTTAAAAATTAAATTTTGACAAATGAAGATGGGTTTATATTTTCTATTTGTTTTTTTTTAATGAAAATATATTTTTGTTGTTACTTTGCAAAAAGTTAAGAGGTGTGTATTTTTTTGAGATTAAATTTTTTTTTTTTTTAAAAGTCAGTCAAATCTGATATAGGCGTGAAAAACAGTTGCGAGATTCTTCCTAGATACAAGAATTCTTTGTTTTATGATTTTCTGATAATGTATAATTTTTTAAAAAGGCAAAAATGTGTTTAAATTTTTGATGGAGATAACAATATATATTGAATTCCTGTAATACAAAATATATTTATATCATATACAGAGCTTTTGTTGTAAGTTTAAGGTTAGGTTGTTTTTTGTTTTATTTTGAGAGAAAAAAGTTGTAATTCAAGGGCACGAAAAGGGATAAATCTAAAGTATTTCTCTAGCGTAGTAATTTTTCCTCAATTAACTTCTTTAGTGACAAAAGCGATATGATTAGTGATAATTTAGACTGGGTAATTTAAGGTCATGTTTAGGGGGGGGGGGGAAGTAGTTTAGGGGGGGGTAAGGGTTTGGGGTACTCGTTTATAAGAATGAGCTATGCTGAACCATACCATGTTAAAGAATAAAGCGATATGATTAGTGATAATTTAGACTGGGTAATTTAAGGTCATGTTTAGGGGGGGGGGGGAAGTAGTTTAGGGGCGTGTAAGGGTTTGGGGTACTCGTTTATAAGAATGAGCTATGCTGAACCATACCATGTTAAAGAAACGAATTAATTTACATATGTTTGTAGTCTTAAACACAATGATAGCAATTAAATAAAATATATTAGCATTTCTTATATATCCGATTTCGTTAATTTAAAATATATTAAAAATTGTATATAGAGTTTTTCATGTAAATTTAAAACATGTTTTCACAATTTTTAGAGAAAAAATTGTAGTTCAGGGACACTAAAAGGAGAAGGGTGGGCCCAAAATTTAATAATTGAAAAACACTCCTTCAGTGACAATAATGATTTAATAAGTATCATTTAGATTTGGTAATTTAAGGTCATGTTTAAAGAACAAAATGAAGTCTATTGATCAGAAAATGGTTAGGGTAGGCTTATAATGTAGCGGGAAAATACAAATCAAAACTTAATTATGTCGCAAATGTAAACATCATTATATATATATACTTTTTTTTTAAAAAACGAAGAATTTTGATGAGCTTTCACAATAGCAGGTAGAAATTATCGCAAAGTGCCTACCATTATTATCCTGATAAAATCGGGTCATATATTCAGGACATTTATATGAGGGCTGAAATCCCTCCTGATGCCTAAAATTGCCCTCCATAAACTCTTCATGGAAATTAGATTCGGTTGTTTTCTTTTTCATTTTGACAGTCTCTCAAAAGTTCCGAAAATTACTGGCTAGAAAATCTATCATTACATTTTCATTCTTTATTATTGAGAGATGATACAATGTGGGCCAAAAACTAACAGTTGGAGACGCAAAAATTGAGCTACGATAGACAACATAATTGTGTTGATCTAGGCAGTACGTTCTCATCATGCTCTTCAACGTCTGATGGAATCGCTCAAGTGCTCCCTGTGACTCAGGATGATGTGCACTCGACAAGCAGTGTTCTATTCCCAACTGGTTCATCACTTGTTTGAATATTCCAGCCTTGAAGTTGGTTCCTTGGTCAGATTGTACAGACTTCGGAAGACCAAACAATGTAAAAAACTTCGTCAAGGCTTTGACGATGTTCGGAGTCCTGATATTGCGAAGAGGAATAGCTTCTGGGAACCTTGTTGACGCATACATGATTGTCAGCAAGTATTGGTGACCTGATTTTGTCTTTGGCAGAGGTCCAACGCAGTCTATAATAACGCGACTGAATGTTTCTTCGAATGCTGGAATGGGTTGAAGAGGAGCTGCTGGTATCTTCTGATTTGGTTTCCCTACCACCTGACAAGTATGACATGATCTGCAGTCAAAAAGTTCAGAATATTACTGGCTAGAAAATCTATCATTACATTTTCATTCTTTATTATTGAGAGATGATACTATGTGTGCCAAAAACTAATAGTTGGGAACGCAAAAAATGAGCTACGATAGACAACATGCTTGTGTTGATTGGTGTCGTCTAAGTAAATCTTTCAGCCAACTAGTTCAAACTTGATTCACATTCACAACCACTTTGGCCGTATTTCCCTTATGGACTTGTGAGCTAGAGTTGTCAGCAACACTTCTGCGCCAGCCTTATGTGCTGGAGTTTATCAGCTAGACTTCTGAGCCAGACTGATGTGCTAGAGTTGTCAGCTAGACTACTGAGCCAGACTTATGAGCTAGAGTTGTCAGATAGACTTCTGAGCAAGAGTTGTCAGCTAGACTTCTGAGCCAGACTTATGTGCTAGAGTTGTCAGCTAGACTTCTGAGCCAGACTTATGTGCTAAAGTTATCAGCTAGACTTCTGAGCCAGACTTCTGACCCAGACTTCTGAGGCAGACTTCTGAGCTAGACTTATGAGCTAGAGTTGTCAGCTAGACTTCTGAGCCAGACTGATGTGCTAGAGTTGTCAGCCAGACTTCTGAGCCAGACTTCTGAGCCAGACTTCTGAGACAGACTTCTGAGACCGACTTCTAAACCAGACTTCTGAGCCAGACTTCTGAGTTAGAGTTGTCAGCTAGAGTTATTTTGATTTTTAAAAAGCTTTGTTTAACTATGCGGGCAAATATTAGACAAGTTTCATACTACGGTCTCCGACATTCTAATCTTGTTCAACACTTAGTCTACAAAATATGGCATTGGCTATTTAATGCGAATAATTTATAGTTTATTTTATTTTTTTTTATTAATAATGCAATGTAATTCGTCATACATATTAAAATTTGTGATAAAACAAAAATTGCTGTACGTGAACGTAATGTTATAAAATGTGAATGGATAAAGTTCAAATGTATGTGCATATTTCCGAGGGGCTAAGGACGTGTACATATAGCTTTTACAATAAAACATTAACAAAGAGGCATCAAAGGAAATGTAGCCCTTGAGGGAATTAATTTTCATATCACTTTGTCAATAATAAAAACATTGTTTTTCCTTTGAATTATTTTATGATAATCATTATTGCCATTATACGATTTTATTGAGCCAACTTTTCGCTAGTTTACAATAAATATTTTATTGTCAATTGCAATTTAAGAATCGTGATTTTTTTCCTAAGGATGATACTAAATGAAACTACATTGAAGAATATTTTTTTTTATTTCCTAGGTCCATTAACCAAAAGAGAACTAAACTTCCTATTGATCGGTGATCCTCAAACTGGCAAAAGTGCCACTGGAAATTCAATTTTACTAAAAAGGGCTTTTAAAACAGGAGAACAAACACCAAACCTGCGCCGAGTTGAAACATCGAGAATCGTCACATCCACTTTTGACATTTTAGTCACCGTGGTAGAGGTGTCTGGATACTATCTTTCTAGCTATAATCCAACACCATTTAAGCTTTGCCCTGGGGGCTTTGATGCTGTTCTTTGTATAAATGAATATAGAAATATTAAAAATAATTGTAGTCCAGTTTGTTCTTGCCTAGCCAATACCTTGATCGATGATGAAGCTCTGAGGTCTTATGGTGTTGTGATTATAAATGGCGGAGATAGTTTCGAACTTGATTATCCCAACACAGCCATTCAAGACGTTCTAAGAGGAATCTCCACTACGTACGAAGCATTAGAGGCTAGCGTGCAGAACAGGGTCATGCTATTTGATAACACGACCAAGTCTAGGAAGAAAAAAGTCCTCCAGGTAGCACAACTTGTGCAAGTGGTGGATAGTTTGCCTGCCCGACGCAAAACACGTTTTACTGAAGTGGAGTTCATGGAGTCAGAGACTAGGATTCTTAAGTTAAGGCTGAAGAACTTGCACATGTTGAAAGATGCGTTCCAAACGCGGGCAATCAAAGATCAATTTGCATACTACAATACAGGTCCATTTGAGCACAATGAAGAATGGCACAAAATAATGAACGCTATTGAAAACACCCCAGTTATATTAAGAGGGAATTTTGAAAACAATGAATATTTATTTACAGAAGCTGGTACCGGTAAGTACATTTTTCATTGGTCTAAGAGGTCACATGTTGAAGTTTATTTCATTAATTTATATATATATATCATCTGGTGTTGTTGCTTTCTTGATGATGCTAAAAAACAAAACAAATAATATTCATCATAAATTGAATTTTCAAAAATAATTTACTGGTTAAAACAAAAATGTAAACAGATATATTATTAATAATTTTTGAACAAATTTTTTTTTAAAATTTAGAAATATTATTTAAGCTATTTTGTTTCGGTTTTTATTCAACGGCATCTTGTATTCCGCAGATGTGTTTAAAGTCCTTATGTTCGGCAAACCAATTGGATCTGTGTACTCAGTCATGCACCAATTAGATAATATGGGCGTTGCGTGTCAGTACAGGCATTTAGATTTACTAACCGAACTTGAAGAGATAAGTTATTTTACTGCTATTCTTTTGGTGGTCTCTTGTGCTAATTTATTGCAACGAGACAAGGATGTGTTAAGAAAAGTTATTACAAAATACAGCCATGCTATTCGTAAAAATGGTATTTTGATAGTCATTGATGGGGACACGGTAGATCTACGTCAGAACGATCACACTTTTGCAGCTTGGTGCAACAAAGAAAATGACATCATCAAAGACATGCTATCCGCTTGTGCAGGCAGAGCTGTTCTTTTCGATTATGAAACAAGTGACGTGGTCAGGAGACTCGAACAAGAGTCGAATCTTGTCAAGATGCTACACTGCTTGCTGCCTAACACTAACAGAGCTCCAGAGAGAGATTTAGTACGTGTTAAAAAATTGTCCGATTTTGCTCCAAAAAAGAAAAAACGAAAATTAAATTAAATTTGTGTTACACCTGTTATGTCAAGATAACTGTACTTTAAAAGCAAGACAACGTGTTTGTTAACATCCAGACGACATTTAAAGAAATAAGCAAGGGATATACCTCTAATAAAACGGTTGTTAACAGATACCTTAGGCAGCTTTATGTTAAAATTTGAATAGTGCTTGTCCATGTAGACAAGTTGCTGCTGGTTCTGTCTGTGTTTGTCAAGGACAATAATAAGTATAAATCTTGCAACGGTGTGGAGAGACATTCTTCACGACCCCTGTAACCAAGTTATTTCACAGTTATCATGTAAATAATTTTCAAACATATGATTTTTTATGTTTTATGTTGTTTATATTTTTATTGGTGTGCTAAGAAAGCTGCGCTGTAGGCCCTACATAAATAAAATGTCATAATATGTCACACTAGATTATTATGTCGTCCAGTCCATGAATTTTCTTCTTCTTCCTTTTCCTATTTAAAACGATCTAAGGGGTCTTTCTTTATCATTTAACATCAACCTAATGTTTCACTTTGTGAAATTTTAGCCGACATTTTTTTAAACATTTTGTGGCAATATCTGAAATTAATTGTTCAGTCATTTTAAAGATTCTCTTTTTATTAATCTCGTTAATTTCTTTAATAGTTCCGGTATTCACGTTTTTTCTTGCGTCCTTTTTTCGCAATGAACTTAAATGAATTTTAACCAATTCAAATTTAAACTACGGTTAGAAATAACAAATTTTCTGGACGAATCTGAAAGTTCTGATAATAAAATTTAAAAAAAAATTAAATTCTTTTTTTTTTCCTGTTTACGGTCAATTTGATTATTCAGGGCAGTTTTGATAATGCTTTGGCTGTTTAGGTCCGCCTATGATTTGTGATGCACCCTCCTTGCCCTGCCTCATTTTCTGTCTCGGGTTGATCCTGTAGTATAGGCCAAAACGTGCCAGAGTGTCCTCGTTTTATGGCCATTTTAATTGTTCCTATAGTATAGTAGTTGTTATCCTAGTGTCTCATTTTTATTTTACTTAGTTTACATGTTTTTAATAATTGTAAAGCGCTTAGAGCTTTAAGGTAAGCGCTATATAAAAATGCCTAAATAAATAAATAATTAATGACCGATAAAATCAGACAATTTAATAATTTTGTATTTGTCTAGGACAATCTAGTATAATTTGTTACACTGCCCGGTCATTATAAATACTGCTATTATTTCTCTGGTCACTTTAATTAATTGTATACCAAGATCATTTAACTAAATTTATTCAACTGCGTCCTCTTGAGGCAAAAGAATAGAAGAAGCAGCGTATGTGCTTTTGGATATTTTTACCATTTTTGGTGCGCCTACTATTTTGCAAAGTGATAATGGGAGAGCACTTGCTAACAATACTATTAACGAACTATGTAGCATATGGCCCGAGTTAAAGATGGTACATGGGAAGCCCAGACACTCTCAAAGTCAGGGCCTCGTAGAACGTGCGAATCAGGAAGGAGAAAATATGCTTTGTTCGTGGCTGAAAGACAATAACAGCAGAAAATGATCAGAAGGCTTACGTTTTGATCACATTATGAAAAACAGAGCTCATCATAGTGGCACAAACTGTACTCCGTATGAGGCCACGTTTGGAACAAGTTAAAAGTTGGTCTAAAAAGTTTTCTACCTACAGACGTTCTGCCTAATATAAATTGTGACGAGGACTTAGAAGTAATTGTAAAAGATCAAAACAATTTACAGTCTGTAGAAGAAGGTGCACTGCAAAATGAACCAGGGTCAAATTCTTAAGCAGAGCTAGGTCCAATTCAACCTAACGAGGAGGAACTATCTTCTGTTGATAGTTATGTTCAACCTTCAACTTCGTTATGTGAACCAAGTTCTGATTTCCATAACATTGAAAGAGAAATAAATGTCTCCGACCCATCTCATCTTCAAGTCTCCGGTCATGAAAAACGTGCGTATGAAGGTTATAATGTTTCCTCAGAGGATTCCAATGTGAAAAAAAGAAAAGCCGACATATTAAAAATTAGGGAGATTTCAGCAAGCAGTCTAAAAAAAACAAGCTGAAAAAATGCTTCCATCCTCTAATTCAAAATACCCTGCCGCTAGAAAAGGGGACAACGAGTTCGAGTCTCAGAGGTCCCACCGATGGAAGAAATATTTTGGCATTTGTTCTTGAAATAGCAGATGCCAATCTTATAAATTTGGCACGAAACATGGAATCCTAAATCAACTTTATGATAGGAACCAATTTACAATATGTAATGTAAAGTTTATTTATGCCGAAGAAATTCCTCAGTCAGAGATTTCACTAAGAGAATGTGCAAGAATGTCATCCAAGACTGAGGGCCAAGGCTAAAGTCGATGTGGCTGTAAATGTGGCTGTAAATCTGAAAAGTGCAAATGCCGCAAAGAAAAAAAGCTATGTAACTCAAAATGTCACCAAAGTGGAAGCTGCTCTAATAAATAGAAACTCTAGGATTTGACATGTGTATATTTGTGTGTATATGTATTAGTAAGTACATACCTAATATTTTTTTTATTGAGACGTAGGTAATTTTTATTTTTATTTTATCACCACCAGATTGTTTCTTCATTTTTTTGTTAGTTATTTTAAAATTTGTTTGAATATCTAATGTACTCTTATTTTTGTATGTAGAGAAATATGCATAAAAAGTTTCACAAATTGCCCACTCGAATACCAGCATTTTTCATAATGCCCGGGCAATGTAATATTTTCTTTATAATTTATCATTTTGTCATATACCATTGGGCACTTTTAAATTGCCCGGGCATTATAAATAATGCCCAATTATTTACATTACATTATATATATAAGAATGACCATATAATAAAGTCTGACCTTAACGCCAAAGTAACAAAGCGATTTAAATTCGTTCGGATTCTTAAAAACCATGATAGTCCTTTTCCATTACTTTGCGGAAATCGAATAAATTTAAATGCGCAAAAAATAAAATGTATTAGCTTTTATATTAGTAGATGCGTAAATATTATTATTATAAATTACAAGTAAATTTAAAATAACAATAAACGAACTATTTTAAGCATTTTATAGGAGTTATGAAAAAAAATTTTTTAACAATTATGATAAAAAAATGATGTAAAACCCAAACATCTGTTGTTTTTTGTGCTTTTAGTGCGTTGTTAATATTGAGAAATAAAAATATTAAAATTAATTTGATCTAAATAAACACGTAAATGACGTCATAGATTGTTATTGATTATTTAGACAAAACTTTAAGTTTCTTTAATTTAATAACCGCGCGTGACAAATCTGATAATGTATTATATTTCCCCTTCTTAAGAGTAAAATTAATAAATATGATTTATTGCTTTTTAAACTGTAAATAAAACACAAAACATTTTATCTTTGTATTTTTAACATTTAATAATAATAATAATAATAATAATAATTAGTGGTCTTTTATAGCGCTGTACCCCAGCCTAGATTTAAGTTTTTACTTTTTTTTTTTCATTCCAAAAATATTATTTTATTAAATTTAAAAAGTAATAAAAACGTAACCTTTAAATATACTTTTAATTAGAAAGGGCCGTTTAAGTCAATCAGTGGAGCGAAATTCCATAACCAAATAACATTCAATTAATAATGCACTTATCAATCATCCAAATAATAACAAACCCTTTTAAATGTAAAAAAAAATGTAAATCGCGTACGTAGGGGCTACACTCCTGTGGATGATTTTAGTCATTTGTATTAAAAGCTTGGGGGTCCGATACTTCCATTTTTGCACAAGGCAGCAGAAGATACGCCTCAAAATAATGGAACGAAGTTGATAAATAATTAAATTTCTTAGGTACATACTACATAGATATCAGGGTATCAAAAGGGTGTATACATTTTTACGTGTATGACAATTCCATTTAATCCTATCATATTATGATTGTGAAAAAGACGTGTTACATTCTCATTTTACAAATAAATAAATGTTAACCCATAAATAAAATCTATGGCGTTAACAAAAAGTGGGTACTTTTACATAAGTTTACCCATGGATATCAATACACAATCATTTTACACATGTACAATTTTAAGTTTGAAATGTGGAGATTGGTTAACATTTTCTTTAAAAAAATGAAAACATATTTTTGTTTTTACTTTGCGAAAAGTAAGTTGGGCGTAGTTTGTTTTGCGATAACATTTCTGTAAACGTGGCACTCAATGCTGTTTCAGACATGATAAACGGTTAAGAGATTCTTCTTTTGATAAAAGAGTTCTTTGTTTTACGATTTTCCGAAAATATATTACAAAACAAAGGCAAAAGTTTGGTTAAATTTTTAATAAAGTTATCAGTATATCAAATTCCGTCAGCATATTTTTTTTACATAATATAGAGTGTTAATTTTTTAATTTTTGTTGTAAATTTAAGATTAAGTGTTCACAGGTTTTAGATAAAAATGTTTAATTTTAGGGGCACGGAAAGTGGTATAGTATGCCCAAACATTTCACAATGTAAAAACACATGGCATCTAAAGAATTACTCTAGCGTAGAAACCAGCCGTTATTGAGCTCCTTTAGTGACAATAAGGATTTAATTAGTGATCATTTAGATTTGTTCACTTAAGGTCATGTTTATTATTTTTTTTAATATAGTTTAGTGGCAGTTACATTGATGTTTAAGTCATATTGATGTTAGTCATATTGATGTTTAAGTCATATTGATTTTTTAGATCAGTGATGAATACGCCCTTTTGTCATTTATGACTACACCCATGATATGTATAAAAGTCTTCATGGGCGGCCCCCTTACCCGCCCCCCCCTTAAATAATTCACCCCATAATAAAGCTTCTAATGACCCTGAAAACTACCGCACAAATCACCT